CCTGCTGAAAGACCTACCATGTCTGAGGTTGTTATGATGCTCAATAGTTACACCATAAACTCCACCGTCCCGTCACAGCCAGCGTTTTATGTCCGGCAAGAGAGCTCTGCAGACCCACAGCAGTCGGTGGCTCGCCTCGAAAGTTATGGTGCATTAGAACTTGATCAGTTAGCAGAAGCAACTCAATCAGTAAATGACCTAACTGTCACTGAACTCTGTCCTCGCTAGCTAGCAATTGCAAATTGCAATGTCATAATAATTAGAAACGTATCTCTCAGCCAGAAAGTAGATTCTGCTACTGTTTCTTATTTTGGTTGTACAAATTTTTTGTTCGTGCACATATTGTCAATTTAAGAAGGACAACTAAAACCCGTTAAGTTTGGACAAATTTTTTGTCTTTTCTTGTGGTGATTAGGTTGACGACCAAAGAGATTGTGCATATTATCATAAGCAAACCAAATTAATTACAACAACTTGTTTCAGAGCAACATACAGTCAATTTATTTTCTTGTTCTGTAGGCCGGCCACTAGCCACTAGCCACTAGCCTGTTTTGTAACCTTTGACTGCTTCTTTCACCAGAATAGTATTTGCTCCAGAAAAATAAGTTTTTGAATGAGTACTGTGAACTTGCTCAATCAAACTGTCAAAATAGCTTCATTTAATTCTTTGGTGGTATCAACTATCAAGCAAAACTCTTTTTGTTTTAGTGTAATTTTCCCTTCACGCGCTTTTATCAAAACTATTTGTTAAAGCTTCTATGAGTCGAATATTGTATGCGCATGTGAAGATATCGCTTGGAAAATCAAACTGGCTTTATGGTGAGGCTCAATGTACTGGGGACCTTGTCGAGATTTCTTGTAAGAGATGTCTTGATAAAGCAACACATGGTCTTCAGTTGTTTTGTCATATTTCAACTTTACACATTTGCCGATGATTAGTTTTTTTTTTTTTCTTGGGATTTTGGGTTCCTTTTTGTTTGCTTCTAATCTTTGTATTTTTGGAGAGCTAGGGTGTCTTGTTTCCCAAAATGTCTATATATGAGTTGGGGTGTGTGCGGAGAGTTCGTGACAAAGGCAAATCAACTGCACCGATTTAATTGCGGCAGTCTAGAAGTTGTTTGTTAGGTATTGCTTATCAAATGAATAACAAATTAATCATAATCTTCCATATGCATAACCTCAGAAATAGTACTTGGATCCTGATCAGTTGGGACTCTCTTCTTCTTACTCCTTTCCCTATTCCCTTTGGAGGAGGAAAAGGTTTATGTGGTTGTGGCACATCAAACATGATTTGCCTATTCATCATCGTTTGGCCCCCGAATTCTTTTTCGTTCCAAAAGCACCCACCTTCTCCTTTTCAACCAAACCCCACCGCCTCAATCATATTCTTATGAAGCTATGTGTCTTTCTTGTGAAAGAGATGATGGGGGTCTTTGGTTTGGTTAATTGTTCAAAGATTTGAGAACGACATGTGTCTATATTTTTCTAAGTTCATAAAGAAAAACAGAAGGGTAAAAAAAAACTGCTGTATATATGTACAAATTCCTTGAGATTCTGGGTTGGATTATTAGATTAGGTGTATCGATATATACCTACTAAACGTTGGCCAAAAAGGACACACCTACTAAACGTTGGCCAAAAAGGATACACCTACTAAACATTAAGATGAAGTCACCCACCCTGTCCTTTAACGTGGATGCCATAAACCACTCCATTGTATACTTTTGGTCCTTTTTTTCTTTGAATTCACAGAATTTAATTACAATCATGTCAAGAACCTGAATATATGAACCCACATTCGTTGCTCAGATAGTTCACATCAAACTATGTCGCGATTAAAATGCCTCCAAAAGTTTAACTGTTACTTCAATTTCAATATGTAGGTCTTTTCTTAGTGAAGATTTACTTGGAGTCTGAAGGGCTCGAGTCATTGTTTATTTTCTCTGTTAGGCGTTAGTCCTGTTTCTTCACAACAACAACAAAATATATGTAGTCTACAACAAGAAGAAAATATGATAGTTGTAGCAGAAAAAAAGAAAAAAAGAAGAAGAAGAATATTGGTATCCAAGAGCGAACAACCTGTCACTGCCTTATATCATGATACTTGACCAACTCAAACAACTAAACCACAAACTAATATTATCTTCGCTCTTACGTGTCTTCTCCCTTCTCTTTCAACGTCTATAAAAATGAAGTTCCTAAGTGGAGATCTATGCGGTTGATTCTCTGCCTTCTCATTCTACCCTTCAACCTCTTTTCCCTTTCTACCACTAAGCAAAAATATGGCAGCTTCAAGAACAACATTAGTGAGCTTGGTTGTTGTGACCATGCTCATAGAATTGGCCATGGCAACCAGTTACAATGTAGGAGGTCCGAATGGCGGGTGGGATTCGACTACCGACCTTCAAACTTGGGCATCATCCCAGACATTCTTAGTAGGAGATAATCTCAGTAAGTTATTTACACACACAAAGAAATTGACAAGGAACATCTTAAATAATATGGGACAATTTTTACTCTGATTTTACTTATGAGTTGTTTTCCTATACTGGAATTAAGAAATTGGTATCTTTATTATGTGCGCAGATTTTCAGTACGCACCAAGCCATGATGTGGTTGAAGTTTCAAAGGCAGACTATGATTCTTGCCAAGCAAGTAACTCAATTCAGTCTTACAGTGGTGGCAGCACTACCATTCCTCTGTCTTCTCCAGGCAAGAGGTACTTCATCTGTGGAACAACTGGACATTGTAGCCAAGGAATGAAGCTAGAAGTGGACACTCTTGCAACTTCTGCTGCACCAACTGCTTCTCCTCTGAGCCCTGCTCCACAAGAATCTCCTTCAATCCCAGCCCCTTCTTCCTCGGACACTCCATTGGCTCCAGAAGCTTCGACTGCCTCACCGGCACAATCACCACAATCTGCTCCCACTTTGTCCCCTGCTTTGCCATCTGAGTTGCCCATCAGTCCTGCATCAAATCCTGCATCAAACCCAACCGACATTCCTTCAACTGAAGCTCCTACTTCCATCTCTCGAACCGGATCTTCAGCACAACCATCTTCCTCATCACTTAACTGCAAATTAGGCAGCCTCCAGGCGAGTCTCACTGTGGGGTTCAGTGCTGTTGTGATCACGTTGTTTCTATCCCCCTAGGCTTTTAAACAAAGGAAGATTAAGATTGTTTGTGAAGAAGTTTATGTTCATTGGGTTTTCTGTGTGACAAAATTTCTTGTGCATTTTATTCCAATTTTATGATTGCTTCCTTGTGCATTTGGAAAAGAACTGTTGTGCGAAGTGTTTACTATTTAGAAGAAATGAATGTTAGGGCTAGAACCAGCATGCTCAGCCGTTTTGGATCAGACTGCTATGATACTCCAGAAACTATAACTAAGAAACCATTTTTACATGGAAATTATGAGGTCTGCATAAACTGTTTGATTCAAGAGATCATCAATATACAAAAAGAGTGCTAAATAATATTTGTCATGGACCGACGATCGATTAATTGAAACATTCGAGATTGCTGGAAAATAGAAATACACCATTAACTGTAGTTGAAAACAAAGATAGATATTTAGAACAAATGAACATTTTTGTTCGAGACGTGACAGTGGACAAATTATGGATGCCCTGCACTCTACGCTTACGCCGTAGGAGGGCAAATGATATGATCCTGTGCTAGGTCAACTACATCATGGGACATGAATTGCCGCATGGGAACACCAGGGTGACTTATGAAAGGCATCAGCTTGTTTCCAGAAGCTTGCGCTCAAACTGCGAATGCAGTAGAGATAGCAGGAGAATGAGGTAGAATGCCATTTTGTGTACTCATGGCTATGACTTGCTGCTCCAACTTCTCTCTTTCTACCCTTTGCCTCCGCTTCCCATCTCGAAGTTCACTCTTCTCAGCCTGTGTAGAGACACAGGAACTAAAAACCGTTATGCATACTCACCTGGTTCTAGTATTCAGGACATGGTGAAAAAGATGAGATGCATACAAAGCATTCAAGTAGTTCAGTACTAAGTAGGCATGAGGAAGTAAAGCTCACCTTCAGTTCTTTAATATTTGCTTGCAAAGACTCAATGGTCTCTTTCAGCTTCTTGGATTCACTTTGTAACTGGCAAACGGCATCAGTCAATATAGCACCCTTGTCTGTTTCGGGAAGCCTTCCAGGATCCAGGACAGAAACTAATTCCAAGAACCTTCAAATTGCCAAATCATGTCTACTTTGATTAGAGAATGAGAAGACAGAATTCCAAATCAGATAAATAAAAACTACTTTTATGATAGCATACCTCTCATTGAGCCTATTCCTCTGCAATTTCTCCCAGCATGCTTTAGAGAAAGAAGCACCATAGGATCCAGATCTTAACCTAAAAGGGCATTTGCAATAAATTAGGTCACAATATGTTCATGCATTTTGAAAAATATCATCAATTGGGAAGAGATATTTACCGTTTTTGGGAGCCAACTTCCATAAGGTTATCCGAGTCTCCAGATGAGCAATCAACTTCCACACTGGAAACAAACATAGTTTCAACCAAATTTTCAATAAAGAAAACAACATTTCAATTGCCAGACAAATGTGAAGCAGATGTTACCAATGCACAACAGAAGCTCTTTTTTTCAAAGATATATCATACTGTCCTAACAGAAGCTACAGAGCCTAACCACACATTTTTAGATGTTCAATTCAAACTTGAGTCCACTTGTCATTGTTTTTTGCACTTAAGAAAACGGCTACAAAATGAACCAAAGCTAAAACATATACAAATACAAATCTAAGAAGAAATAAAGAAAAAATGTGGTAAGAAAGAGACCCACCTTGACCGTGCATTAGGGCCCGTGAACTTGTGCGTTTTTTGAGTACGTTTTTTTAATGGAATAGCCCATGAACTTGTGCTCAAGTTTTATTTTGGTCCACCAACTAATTTTTTCATTCTAATGGTCCTCCAATTCTCTTTTTGATGTCAATTTGGTCTTTCTTTCCATTAGATTTAGTCACATCTGGTCTTTTTTTATGATACGAATTTTGCAAGAAAGTTCCACTTTCTTTTTTCAATTAAAAATGATTATGTCGAGAAACTGCCTTTAACTTTTTTATTGTAAAAAACTCCCAAACCCACCGACTCAAGCCATAACCGCAGAGATAATTTTTATTGCCAAGTTTTATGAAAACATTGGCTTTTCTTTTACTTCTTCTTTTTGGTAATTACATTGTCGTTTTTATGATAGGATTCATTGGCATGATTGAGTTGGCAAGCCAATTTTGTTCTAGTACTCCTGCTATTTTGGGTTTTAGGTGTAATTGAGTTTTAATTTAGAGGGTATTTGGGACAATTTAAGTGATTTTTTTGTTATATTTGAAAGTTTTTATAAAAAATGACATTTATGAATTTGGAGGCTAAATTTTGACCCTAACCACCACCGTAATTTCCCACCCCAACCACGCAGCTGTGTGATCTGCAAGCTGCAGCCTGAGGAAGGAGATGAAGTCGGGTGAAAATTGTTTTTTTAAAGTTTGCTTCAATGAAGCGACATCGTTTCATATAATAAGTTTTTTTTAAAACTGGGTTTTAAGTTAAACGCATTTTAACATGCCTTTTTTCAAAAAGACTAATTACATTTTTGGTTAATGGTCGAATTTAAATTTGATCACCAAAATTTTAATTTTTCGATTTTTGTCACTGGAGTTAACGTCGTCAACAAATAAAGTCCAAATGATCCATTTCGTCAGTTAAGACACGTGATGCGTGCGTGCATAGAAAAATTGGAGCTCCAACATATAAAAAATTATTAAATTAAAAACAAAAAAACAAAGAAAAGATGGGCTAACCATTGATGGGGCCGAAGACAGAGAGGGGTTGTGCCGAGGATGAATCTGGTTGTTCACGTGATGCGTGCGTGCATAGAAAAATTGGAGCTCCAACATATAAAAAATTATTAAATTAAAAACAAAAAAACAAAGAAAAGATGGGCTAACCATTGATGGGGCCGAAGACAGAGAGGGGTTGTGCCGAGGATGAATCTGGTTGTTCACGTGATGCGTGCGTGCATAGAAAAATTGGAGCTCCAACATATAAAAAATTATTAAATTAAAAACAAAAAAACAAAGAAAAGATGGGCTAACCATTGATGGGGCCGAAGACAGAGAGGGGTTGTGCCGAGGATGAATCTGGTTGTTCACGTGATGCGTGCGTGCATAGAAAAATTGGAGCTCCAACATATAAAAAATTATTAAATTAAAAACAAAAAAACAAAGAAAAGATGGGCTAACCATTGATGGGGCCGAAGACAGAGAGGGGTTGTGCCGAGGATGAATCTGGTTGTTCACGTGATGCGTGCGTGCATAGAAAAATTGGAGCTCCAACATATAAAAAATTATTAAATTAAAAACAAAAAAACAAAGAAAAGATGGGCTAACCATTGATGGGGCCGAAGACAGAGAGGGGTTGTGCCGAGGATGAATCTGGTTGTTCACGTGATGCGTGCGTGCATAGAAAAATTGGAGCTCCAACATATAAAAAATTATTAAATTAAAAACAAAAAAACAAAGAAAAGATGGGCTAACCATTGATGGGGCCGAAGACAGAGAGGGGTTGTGCCGAGGATGAATCTGGTTGTTCACGTGATGCGTGCGTGCATAGAAAAATTGGAGCTCCAACATATAAAAAATTATTAAATTAAAAACAAAAAAACAAAGAAAAGATGGGCTAACCATTGATGGGGCCGAAGACAGAGAGGGGTTGTGCCGAGGATGAATCTGGTTGTTCACGTGATGCGTGCGTGCATAGAAAAATTGGAGCTCCAACATATAAAAAATTATTAAATTAAAAACAAAAAAACAAAGAAAAGATGGGCTAACCATTGATGGGGCCGAAGACAGAGAGGGGTTGTGCCGAGGATGAATCTGGTTGTTCACGTGATGCGTGCGTGCATAGAAAAATTGGAGCTCCAACATATAAAAAATTATTAAATTAAAAACAAAAAAACAAAGAAAAGATGGGCTAACCATTGATGGGGCCGAAGACAGAGAGGGGTTGTGCCGAGGATGAATCTGGTTGTTCTGGGAAGAGGTTTTTTGGATTGATAGAGATAGAGAAAGAAGGAGGATTTGGGCAGTGGCTATGGCGGATCTGGGCTGGGTGGATGAGAGTGAGAAGGGTGGTGGCTGAGTGGTAGTTCGTGGGAGACGTGGCAAACGTGGTTGTTTTGGTGGTGGCTATGGCGGATTTGTGTTGTCGATGAAGTTTCTGATTTGGGTTTACTCCAATTAGGTTTTTTTTCTGTCGTATTGGTTTCTTCAAGTTTGTGATTGCTTTTGGGCTTTTTATGTGGGTTCGTTTATATTTGTAATCACGAATATGGTATTTGAACTTTGATTTGGGGTTCTCGAATGAGCCTGTGAATCTGGATGCTTGGATTGAAGCACCTATCCACAGAATTGCGGAAGCTGAGGGGCTTGGGGCCCGACATTGGAGATGGCCGCACCGTGAAGGGCAGAACAATTCCATGGAGTTGAATCAATTGATGATCTGTTCAGAGCTCGAAACACATATAGGGGTTGCAGACAAGAACCCACCTGCTTCGTTGGGATGGGTTTGGGGCTGAGGAAGCTGAGGGAGATGCGATAAATGATAACGATCGTTCATCTGTTTGACTCTCGTATCTTTATCCCTTCTTCTACATGCGACCCTCGAAACTCCTCATGTGGGGCATAACGATATGATAAGAACTTGAATTTGTTACTAACGGAAAGATTAACCAACAGTATTTCATCTTTACGATTTTGAAGGGACCAAGTTAAGGACAGATCTTCTAAAGATGGACTGAATCATGTATTTGGGCTAGCCCAATGCCGGCATACTCAAGTCGATCTCACTCGTTGCAAAACATGCACGCGTTAAGCAGGAGAAGATCTTCCCGAACGTTGTCCTTCTAGTCGAGGTGCTATAATTTGGTATGAAAGTTGCCTAAAAAAATACTCGAATGCACAATTCTTTAGTAGAAGTGACACAAGTAATGGAATCTATGTGATAAATACCAAATTCGTTGTTCCTATCTCATTATTTGATAAATACCAAATTCGTTGATCCTCCCAAATTCGCTGTAAATTATAATATTTTGGTTTGTGTATGCACTAGAAAGATCGAAACTAATGATATACTATGTAAAAATCAAAATACAAATATGAATAAGGACAACATTTGTAAGTTGAGAAGAGTGTCACAACATTTGTAAGATGAGAAGAGTGTCAAATGATGCTTTTTTTTTTCTCAATGTTAATTTATTTTGTGATGTGGAAGCAGTCGCCGTGAAACGATGTCGTCACCATAATAGTCACTGTATTTTGATCCATGTACAGGAGAAGTTGGCTCCCTTCAACATAATATGGAACTCTATTCCTTTACTGTGGATGAGATTGAGTAATTCTTGTTAACGTACTTGAAAATTATGGTTATGCTAATTAGAAAAATAATTTTTATTCTCATTCCAATGTTTAGTTTGTATAATAACAGATTATTTTTATGAAATAACTTCATAATTTTTTATTTTATTAATATTGGCAAGTTGTAAAGAATATCGGCATATTAGTTAGTATAAATATTGCAACAATATTGTGGTTTGTAGAACGAATTTGGTGGTATTCTATTATCCAGAACATATGATAGTATGATACCGCAATGTAGACAACGTAGTCAATCTGATTGACAAGCGGCAAACAGACGGACATCGAAATCCACCAAAAGATGAAAAGAAAAAGAAAAAGTCATCATAGTAAGAAAAGAAGAACACACAGACAGACTGCTGTTGACAAAGATACTCTCTTTCCTCTCCAAATCAAATCCACCGTTACAAAATCAACAAACACATTATGTACAATCTGAACCCAACATTACTTACCCACCCATCCAATAATAAGAATCAAAAATATTGAAAGGGAAGAAAAAAATTGTGGGGAAATGAATTTGCAGAACGAAATTGGAGCTACGCATGGGCAGGGCCTGGCGTCACCTGAGCCTGCCTTGGTGGATTGAACGGCGGCGCAGCCGTTGAAGCCGGCGGAGGCGGAGAAGACGGCGGATTGAGAGTTGGGTCTGGCGGAGGTGGGGTTTGAATTGGGGTCGCCGGAGGAGGTGGAGTTTGAATTGGGGTCGCCGGAGGAGGTGGGGTTTGAATTGGGGTCGCCGGAGGAGGTGGGCTTGAAATTGAGGTCGGCGGAGGCTGGTTTGAATCCGGGTTGGGTGGAGGTGGGTTAAAATTGGGGGTAGGTGGGCTGGGCTGGGTCAAGGTGGGATCTGTGGATGGTGGGTTGGGCTGGTTCGAACTGGAATTGGGGTTGGGGAAGATGAGAGGGGGAGAAGAGAGAGAGTGGCAAGAGTCTGAATCGGCGGAGCATTTGTGGGTTTTCTGGAGGCCATGCCGCAAAACCCCAAATCCCAAAACGAGCCCAAGAACCACAAGCACTGTGACTACGAAAATGAAGATCTTTGTTGCTTTTCCCACATAGCACATTTTCGTATTTCCTTTTCTGGGTTTTCTGGTTCAGAGTCTGAGAGATTGACAGAGAGAATGGGGGTGGTGGGGTTTGTTGGGTCCTTTTCGTCTTCTTCTCATGGTGAAGAAGATGAGAGAAGAGAATGAGTGTGAGCGTGAGTGTGCATTTTGGTTTTGGTCTTTTTTTTGGCTTTTGTGGATTTTAGGATTTGGGAGAGAATTAAGTGTGGCACGTGAAGCCCAACTTCAATTCAGATAACAAGAAAAGGTAGCATGGCTTTGTTCTTGCCATTTGCCAACGCCAAGTACCATTAGCTTAGCTGCATTGTTGCAGAGAGTGACTTTCCCAAAATACCCTTAGTCTTGTCAATTATTTTTTATTACGAGCATTATTGAGGAAGGAGGTTCAAATGCATAATCACGAATAACTGCTATTAACTACTTGAATTATAAACCTTACTCTCGTTCTTGCAATTAATCACCAGTGGTGTTAATTCAGAAGAGAGGCCCATTTTTGGTATATGAATGGAAACTTGCTTTTGGTCTTGCAATTAATCACTCACGTGGTGTCAATTCAGAGGAGAGGGGCATTTTGGGTATGTGGATGAAAAGGTAAGGAGTATTTAATCAGTACTAAACGAGGCTGGTTAGTACAGAAAGGGGACATTAAAGTAAAGCCGTTGAAGAGGATATATTGGGAGGCGAGCAGCCAACTATGTTTGACAGAGTGCCATGTCATTTCTCTTGGGATTGAGCTGGAAGACTTGCTTATAATCAAAATCGCCCTTGGTTTGCCCTTATTTACAATCTTGTCTGATGGGCTCCCAATGTTTTCAAAAGCACTTTTACTTTGTGGGTTGCTTTTGGACTAAATTCATAGTCTTGTATATCATGGGCTTTCTGTCATGCACCCAAACCCAGGCAAAAACAAAATCAATTTTAATTCTCTTTATAATTATAATATATATAAAATAAAATAAAAGAATTACCTGTTTTCTTCCATGAGCATATTGGAAATCAGTTCTTCCCCAAAAATTAGTTATATACATATGACCCCAAAAAAAAAAATGGACGATATACCAACCACGTGGTATCCCAAAACATATAAAAAAATTTTGATAAAAAGAATTCATTGGTTTGAGTTTAGATAACATGAGATAAAAGAAAACTTGGATTAATGATCAGGGTCTAGCCCAATTTCCAAAATTATTAGCTTCTACAATATCTAATTATTTTGAAGGAGTAATCTTCGTACCACAATTAACAAATCCCTCTTTTTATAAGGAATACAAATCGGGAAGTTCATTTTTAGTTTGCTTTTTTCATTTATAGTTTTCATTTTTGTTGCTATCCTACATCAGATGCTCTCAATTCCACAAAAAATAGAGAAGACAATGACCTGAAAGAAGACAATAATCAAAATAAGCATGGCCAGAAAAGAATGTAGGATGGTACGTGTTTGTCTACTCACTTTGCATCCACCGTCTCTTCTCTTTGCGTTTCGAACCAGAAGTCTCCAGAAAGATTCCATAAGCATAACCTATATATCTATCAATGTAAGAAACAAGAAAACAGAGTTTTCATGCAAGAAAATAGGATTAGGAATTAGACACAAAACCCCTCATACTACACGTAAAAATAAGCCATAAATATAATCGGCGCCATGACAAGCGTAACTCTAGGTAGTTTGGGAGAGAAAATAAGGCTTCACAGCAGGTGCTTCTGCCCAAATGTTCTTTTCATAAATGTACCTGAGAATGCAGAAGGAGCAAGTAAAGTATGGAGGCAAGGAACGAAGAATGCTTCTACATTCAGCTCCCGCAGTATAATCAGCAGAAGCCCTCCGCAAGCTGTGGCATCTGAAATTTCCACCACAGACCCAAAGGTAAGTAACTGCCTCGCAATTTTCTCATGTACAAATTCTGCCGTAAATATCGTATGAGTTTGAGATATTGACAAAAACAAAATAATGGGTTTGAAATAACTTTATTTGCCTTGAACATGTGTTAAAGGAAGTGAGCCACTTCCAAGTTTATTTTTTCACTTTAGGATTAATTTATGGTAGGTATGGTCCTATAGCCCATGAGGCCTGAAATGACCTTAATACCCATTGTATCATGCATCTATGACCTACTTTTGTAAAGATGTTTGAGGGCATGTATGGATCAGACTCTTAGAAGTGGTCCAAATGGCAGATAAAGAATGCAAACAAAGTAACCATGTGGATTTTAGCTGATATGGCCTCCATTAGGGGCCAGCAATAATTTATGCACTCATTTTCATGCCAAGATAAGGTCAAGTGCTTTCATTTTTTTTTTTTTTTTTTTTGGCTTTTTGGGTCATCAAGATAGCAATCTACTTTCTATAAAAGGCAACATGCTGGAGTAGTATTTTGCACCAGTCTCATCCTTTCAGAGAAATTAAGCCTAAAACTTCTTCTCTTACTCAACAATGCAGGCTACAACTACTCTCACTTACGAAGAAAAGATGCTCAGAAATTATGTGCCAATCTTTGTGATGCTCCCTGTAAGTCATAAACACTTCTTCTTCTATTCACTGACATGTTATGTATGCACTCTACTATAAAATATAATAATCATCGCGGAGCAAAAGCGTTAATTTTTCTTCATACCAGTTGGGAGTTATTACGGTTGATAACGTTTTAGAAGACAAAGACAAACTCGTGAAGGAGCTGAAGGAGCTACGAGCAGCAGGTGTTGATGGGGTCATGATAGATGTGTGGTGGGGGATCATAGAATCCAAAGGACCTAAGCAATATGATTGGACTGCTTACAGGAGCTTGTTTCAAGCAGTTCAGGAATGTGGGTTGAAATTACAAGCTATAATGTCATTCCACCAATGTGGTGGGAATGTAGGAGATGTTGTAACCATCCCACTCCCCCAATGGGTACTTGATATCGGAGAATCGGACCCTGATATCTTTTATACCAATCTCAAAGGTAACAGGAACCCAGAATACCTCACTCTAGGTGTGGATAACCGGGGTCTCTTTAGTGGACGAACTGCTGTAGAGGTAAGCTTCACAAGATTTCAAAGTGTTATCTTCACGTAGTCAGCTAGTATTCATTCTTTTATGGTGACATATATGTTAATGGTTATATTACAGATATATAGTGATTATATGAAGAGCTTCAGAGAGAATATTGCAGATTTTCTAGAAACTGGACTTATTATAGACATTGAAGTGGGGCTTGGCCCTGCAGGAGAGCTCAGGTATCCCTCTTATCCAGAAAGTCAAGGATGGGTTTTCCCAGGCATTGGAGAATTTCAGGTGGGAGTGATTTACTAATTTGACAATCCTATTGCTTATTGGCCCTATTCAAGCGAAATTAAGTTCAAAACACATTACCTATTTCATATTGCAGTGCTATGACAGGTATCTCCAAGCAGACTTCAAAGAGGCTGCAACAGCTGCAGGTCATCCTGAATGGGAGTTGCCAGATAATGCAGGAGAATACAATGACGCTCCTGAATCTACAGAGTTCTTCAAATCAAATGGGACATACCTTACTGAGAAAGGGAAGTTCTTCTTGACTTGGTACTCTAACAAATTACTGAGCCATGGCGATCAGATCCTGGATGAAGCCAACAAAGCTTTTGTGGGGTGTAAATTAAAGCTAGCAGCCAAAGTAAATATTCTAATATCATAACTAACTCGTATTTAGCAGTACATACCATCTTTCACCTGATGTTAATCGAAGAGTACATGATTGATTATCAAAACAGGTATCTGGAATCCACTGGTGGTATAAAGCTGATAATCATGCCGCGGAGCTTACTGCAGGATACTACAACTTGAAAGATAGAGATGGGTACCGACCTATAGCAAGGATGCTGTCAAGGCATCATGCTATTTTGAATTTCACATGTTTAGAGATGAGGGACTCTGAACAAAGTGCTGATGCCAAAAGTGCACG